GAGCCCAGGGACATCTGAGTCTCTGGGAAAGAATGAGAGGCTTCCCCTGAAGGTGAGTGTGTGCACACACAGACGCATCCGTGCACAGACACGCATCCATGTGCATACCAATACCCCAGCACAGGCATTGCTGGGCAGGAGAAGTAGGAGCTGGTACCTGCCTGCCTGCCTGACCCCTGATCCAAGGGGGAAAAAAAAAGAACACTTTGTGGAAAAACCACTCCCATCCTGCTCAGCCCCAAAGTCCAGGAAAAATCTAGTGACTGGGATGAATTTGATCTGCCCCCAACTGGGGAGCTGGACCAAAAGGCCAAGCACAAATGAGGGTCACTAGGCACACAGTGGGTGTCTGGGGATGATGGTTTGTGTCTTATTTGGAGAAATTGTCACGAAACCCTAGAGATCAGGGAATTTTCTGAGCGTCACTTTTTTCAAATTGCTCCAGCTTGGCTCTGACTTGGACTTTCTCTTCTGTTGCTTTTTTGCAGGTCAGTTGTTTTAAAGAGTAAACCTAAACTCTTGCAAAGGATTAACCAGACAATTAGGAAAACAAGCTTCTTCAGAGCTAGCTTCAAGAAATCAGAAGGGGAGGCTAGGCCAGGGAAGCAGTCTCTGTTCCTTCAGCCTCTTCAAATGAGAAGAGCTTCTATACTCCTTCCAAACTGGCTTTGTGGCCCAGGAGAAGGGGATCCACTGGTAGGGCCCTATTGTCCTCTCCTAAGCCTCCCTCTAGCTCATTTCCCAGTCAGGGACTCTGCCTCAGGGACAGAGACACAAAGCATGAGAGAAGAAAAAAAAATAAAGAGAAGGGGCAAAACAAAGAAATGATTTTGAGTAAAGCATTAGGACTGAAGGAACAAAATGAGACCTCAGCTTGCTCTAGGGCCCTGCTGGTGCCAGGGATCTGGTGCCAATTATCCAGTGTTTTCTGGGTCCAGGGGGAAAAGTCAGTTTAGGGATTTCATTGTCCCATCACCACTGAGTTTCCCGACTCGGCCTGCCTGCTCACCCATGCACACCAATAATTTGAGGCCCCCTCAGATGGCTGTTGACCATCCATGTTAGTCGTCTACAAGGCTGAGACCACAAGAGAAAAAGGACAAAAAAGAGAGAAAGAATTCGAGTTTGAGGCTTTGAAAACACCAGCTAAGGCCTTTGTACTAAGGGAAAAGCCTTAGAACCTTTAGTGGGTGAACACGGCCCCTTGACCTGAAACAGGACCCAAGAGTCACTTAGGAAATACATCCCAAAGTAAGAGGAAGTCTGACAAAGGAGAAAAAGTCTTGCTCTGTCCCTATCCTGGACCTTTGCTATATACAGGACCGTAGAAGTGAAATAAGAATAAATTAAAACCATCCCAAATTTGTCTCGAAACTCTGCCCCCCCCCCAAGGAGTAAGTCCAAGGCCAGCTACTTGGCTAGCAGTGGGGGGATGAGCACTGTAAAGGGGGCCTGGCTGTTACCATCACACACACACACACACACACACACACACACACACACACACACACACACACACACACGCTCATGCAACTTTCTTTTTAGGACTAAAGGTAAAAAGAAGTGACTGTAAGGAAAATATTACTGTTAGCACAGGCTTCTCTAGAGAAGAAAGAGGTATATATTTGAGAGAATATTAGGACTATTTAGGAATTTAAGACCTCTGCCTGATCATTGCTAAAGGGCTTTGCTGTGAAACTGGTTGGGGGGCCCCAAATGACAGGATTTTGGATGTTAAGCCTTCAAATTTCCTGGCTGTGTTGAAGACCAGGCCCCTGATCCTACAGCCTGATGTCCTGTTACAAAACACAAGCTTCACCAACACCTAGCCAGCTGCTCTTGGGGGCTTATGGGAGGTTCCTCTTCTAGGGGCATAAAAGAGCCTCCTAGCTTCAGTACCGAGTGTTCATGTTCCCCCTCAAATGAAATCAAATAAGATAATATTTGTAAAGTGCTTATTAGCACAGTGCCCAGCACATAGAACGAGCTTAATAAATTCTTGTTTATTCCTCTTTCCTTTCCCCTTCCTTCTTTCTACTCCTACTCTCCGGGCATCTCTTCCATACCGGCACCCAGAGTTTGGAGAAAAGCATCAGTGGAAACTGGGGATGTGCTCTGTAGACCTTTTCTTCAACCAGAGATCCTCGAAGAGAACATGGGTATGAACACACAAGGGAAGAGGCTGCTGTTGGCCCTATATACCCAAATACCCCAGCAAATTAAAAAATCTATTCCAATGGGAATCAAACATGGACATTTTGCTCCTAAATACAAAGCAGGAAGAGAATGACCCATGGAAGGGAAGAATGAAAGTCTAGGTTAGAGGTGATGGACTCGGGGAGTTTGGGGGCTGTCAGAGTTCTAACCTTTCCAACTGCTGAGGCACTGGAAACTCTAAGGGCCAACTTATTTTATATTTTAAAAAGTGGAACTAGGCCCAGGAGAACATGGGGATGCCAGTGGCTTGGGTGTGTGAGAATTCTTCTATTTTCCCAAGGCCCCTCCAAAGGAAGAGACTTTCCCAGACCCTGAAACAAACAAGGAAGGTGGGGGCACTATGAGGTTGCTTTTGTTTAGAATCTGGTAGGTGTGGCCTGAGGGGTTCAGGGCGCAGACTGGGGCCAGCCAGTTCCTTCGCCCCCAAGTCTGTGTGCTCAGCTTTCTGGTGCAGAGTGGTGAAAACAGAAGACAAAATCCTTTTTTAGGGTCTTCATATCCAGAAGGGAAATTTGGTGTAGCTTTGTCCTTTTAAGCTTCACACTCGAGACTCTGGTTTCTAATACTGTTAGAATCAGAGCTGAACCCAACCTCTTTTCAGGAGAAGCTGGTCTGAGCGGTATTGGGTTCTCTCCTGGAACACCAGGCTTTCTGACTCATGGCATTGGGAAAAAGATAAGCTGAGGAGGTTGAGGGCTATATGGAAACGAGCCACCTTTACCCTGACCCATGGGGGCATTGGGATGATACTCCCTGTCCCAGGTTCAGTTTCATGACCATGGTACCCATGCCACCCTTCCCAGACACTGCTACAGCAAAGAGGACAGGACACAGCCATGGGGTACATGTTTTATGAGTAATAAAATATTTACTATAACATAAATATAAAGGGGGAACTTCCCAGTCTACAATTTTTAGAAATTAAAATACAAACAGAATGCACCAAAATGCTTTCCAAAAAATTAATAAAAATAATAAAATTAAACTTTAAACTGTAACAAACAGACCTAGAACTGGGGGAAGGGTGTGGGGTGGGGAAGGAAGGGAAGGAGGGGAAGTTCCAGACACATCCAGAAAATAAATAGGACCGGTCAGAAATCCGGAAATCATATTAAAATATCCTCTTCAGATTAGGCAGCGTACAAAATTCTCTAGGATGGAAAACCCCAAGCCCCCAAGATAAGCTCAGCACAGCGGATTCCTCCTTTTCCTCTAACCACTGGCCTGCGCATACATATCTCACATATTTACAGGGCTAGTGCTTCCCCAAACGCCCCAAGCGGGACTGGACTTTTCCCCAGCCTCTCCTAGGCTCCCAGGTCCCCAGACTTGCATCTGGGGGCGATGGGCTAAAGGAGGCAGAAAGAGAGTTGAGGGGAGTCTGGGGTAGGAAGACTGGCGGGGGGGCTGTTTCTGTCGCTGGGTTTAAAAACAATAATAATAGGGATCTAACTTTTCCAAAAAGTGTTTTCAAAATGGGATGGGGACAAAGGGGCCCCCGGGGTGGTTGTGGGAATACTGAGGGGGCTGAAGGCCTTCTGTCCCCAGCCCTCCTAGTATCCCTGAAGGTGTGAGGGAGGGGAATGACAGAGCTCCCCTCCACCTGCAGGGGTGAAGAAAGATGCGGGTTCGGATAAAACGAAACAGAAAGCATCCCCGGGGTTTGAGGATTTCGATCCATCTTTTCTTGTTTTCGGTTTTCTGGGGTGAGGTGGGGGAGTGTGAGAATAGATAGGACTAGATGAAAGCTTTGGCTACTTCCTGTGTGACAGACACACAGACTCGGCTCTCCTCTCCCGGGCTCCCCCGCCGCCTGCTGTGCCCTCCCGCCCGCGCCCGTCGAGAGCCCCGATAAATACAGTAAACAGCGATTTAAATTAAGAACCCGAGCGGAGTTTGGCAAACCAAAAACGAAAAACGTCTCAACGAATAAATAAAAACATAACATTAAAAAAAAACCCACCCCAAACAACACCCACTAACCAGGAGGACTGGGGAGAGAAGGGCCACGATTTGGGAAGGAAAAGAGGTGGAGGGAAAAAATAAGGTCCCCTCCCTCCACACCCTGCCTCTCCCCTCGGGTGCAGGAGTTTCCCCGGAGCATTAACCCTTTAGGGGCCTCGCTGCCCCCAGGATCCCAACTGGGGAGGTTCCTCAGCGTGTATGCATGACTGTGCCTGCGTAAGGGAGAGTGATTATGTGTTTATGGAGGTCGCCAACTGTGTGTGTGTATGTTTGTGCGTGTGATTGCAAGTGTGATTGTGTTTCTAAGTGTGCCCGAAAGCGTGTCCGTGTGATAGAGTATGTGTATTTGCGTGTGTACAGCGAGCGCCCTCTCCTCTGCCCCTCTCCCCGGGATTCCCCTTCCCCCTAATCGCGTTACCTGTCGCTGCTGGGAGGACGCTGCCGGGATCCCGCCCGAAACAGCCGGGGGAAGGGAGGGAGGGAAGGGATGGGTGCGCGCCCGCCTGCCTGTGAGTCTGGGGGATTAGGGCTGCCGGGAGTGGGATGGATGGAGGTGGTGGTCCGTGGGTAGGCTGGCGAGTTGGTTAAGTCCGCTCGGGGTCTCGGCTCCTCTCGGCTCCCGCCCAGGCTCCGCCGGCAGTCCGCCATCTCCGTGACAATTTCGGGTCCTCGTCCGTCTGGTTCGGGGTCGTATTTATTTATTTATTTTAAAGTTTCTTTGCCTTTTTTAAAATTGTAAAATCCAAAAAAAACCAAAAAGTCCTGTCCGCGTGGGCTGCGGGCGGGATCAGCCCCCGACTGTCCTTTAGGTCTCGCTGTCTCGGGGTCCGCTCCCTTTGGGGGGGGGAGTGTTGGCACGGTGGGCAGAGGAGAAGGGGCTCGAGTCCGGGCCCCGCAGGGTGAGGGGGGGTCACTGCACGGATCCTTGCAGTGTGTGGTGGTGGTGATGGTGCAGAGGGGCAGGCGGTGGAGGCGGAGGGGCTGAAGGCGGCGAGGCGCCCCCGCCCCCGGCCCCGGGGGGGTCCCAGCTCACCTGGCGCATACACGTCGTCCATAGGGGGGTGGCCGGCGCCAGCGGCCGGGGTCATGCGCTTCTCCTTTTGCCGCCGGTTGCAGAACCAGACGCGCACCACCTCCTTCTCCAGTTGCAGGCTGTCGGCCAGGCCCGTGATCTCATGAGCCGACGGCTTGGGGCACTTAAGGAAGTGGCTCTCCAGAGCGCCCTTGACGCCCACCTCGATGGACGTGCGCTTCTTGCGTTTGCGTCCCTGCGCCGCGATCTTGTCCAGGTTGGTGGGGCTGCCGGTGGAAGAGTCGGTCTCCTCTAGCCACTTGTTCAGCAGTGGCTTCAATTTACACATGTTCTTGAAGCTGAGCTGCAGGGCCTCGAAGCGGCAGATGGTGGTCTGCGAGAAGACGTTTCCGTAGAGTGTGCCCAGCGCTAGCCCCACGTCGGCCTGCGTGAAGCCCAGTTTGATGCGCCTCTGTTTGAACTGCTTGGCGAATTGCTCCAGGTCGTCGGAGCTCGGAGCGTCCTCATCCGAGTGCTCCCCGACCGATGAGGAGCCCCCACCACCAGCGCCCGGGTGCAGGTGACCCGCATGGAGCCCACCCGCATGTCCATGTCCATGTCCACCCAGGTGGGGCGGCGGCGACGGCTCCAGCTGCGCCTCGTGTCCGTCTTCGTGCAGCCCGTGGTGCAGGCCGGGCCCCGCGCCGCCCCCGCCAGCCGCTAGCATCCCCGCGAGGCCCCCGCCCCCGGTAGCTCCCGGGTAAGCTGCTGCTTGCGCATAGAGCCCTAGAGGCTGGGGCTGATGACCCCCACCCGCCCCAGGTGACGGTGACATGGCTGGGCCTAGGTGGTGAGGTGTCCCGCCTTGAGCCCACGCTGCTCCCGCATGGGCCGCCCCCTGGTGCACCAGCCGCGCGTGGAAGCCTCCGCCGTCGTCCCCGCGGCTGCCGCCTCCACCCTTCCCGTGGTCCAAGTGGGGGCCACTCGCCCAGTCGCCCCCGCCGCCGCCGCCCGTAGGTAGCCACTGGTGATGGGCCAGGCCCACGGGGTGCCCCGCGCTTGCTCCCAGCCACTCGTGGTGCATCAGCTTCTGCACCTCGCGGTACGCGGCCCCCGCGTGGAGTCTTTCGGCCGCTGCTGCCGCGGCCGCCGCCGCAGCTGCGTCCGGGTGCATAAGCGGCCCGGCGCCTCCGGCCCCGCCGCCCGGGCCCCGCGGCAGGTACTGCGCGGTGGTGGCCATGCCGCCACCGCCGCCGCCGCCGCCGCCGCTGCTCCGTCTGCGGGCCCCGCCGCCGCGCTCCGCCGGCTTAAAGCCGGGACCCGCTCTGTACTCCGGAGCCCCACCTCTCCTCCTTCTCATTGGCTGGCTGCAGACACGCCTCCCGTTCCCCCCCAAAGCCCTTGGCTGACGCCCCCCTTCTTTCCTCTCGCCTGTCTGCCGGGCCCGGGCCTCCCCCCTCACCATTGGCCTCCAGCTCCGGATGGTCCCGTGTGTCGGTCCCGCTGATTGGCCGCAGGGGGTTCATTCACCACCTCCCCCTTGTTCCCCACCCCCCAGTTCCCCGCACCTAACATTCACACTCACGCCCCCGGGGGTGCGGCCGCCACGTGGGAGAGAGGCGCGGGGGTGGCCTGGGAACCGCACCCCGCTTTTCTCTCCCCACTCTCTGCGTGGGCCCTGCTAGCCACAGGCAGTGGCGACCCCCAAGATAGACCCACGGCCATGAGCAACGAACCCGGGAGAGTGCAGATAACTCTTTCTGGGCAAGGCAGGAGAAGGAGGCTCAGAGTCTCTTCCTCGGTTCCCCTGTCCAGGGGATCAGGGCTGGCTCTGGGAGGCGCTCAGGTTCCCCCTGAAGCTGCTCAGCCCCGCGGCTCCTCCTCTCGGAGAGGCCGTTGCTCTGCTCCGGGACTGGTCCTCCCCATGCATCTCTAGTCCCTGCAGTACAGAGCTGAGAGGTAGAACCGCGGTCCGGTTCCTGAGCCCCCGGCACGGGATCCGGGCTCGTTGTGGACTCGGCTCGGCTTTACTTATCCCCGCCCTGACCCGCGCTCTCCTTTCCTGAGGGCCCACCCATCTCGATCCTCGGCCACTCCGGTTCCGATCTGGGGCCTTCTGGCTCCCCGGAAAAGGCGAGGCAGGCAGACGGGGAGGGTGCAAAACGCAAAGTGCTGGAGCTATGTGCCAGACAGAGCCAGAACCGGGGTTTCCAGGCCCGGCCAAGCTGGGCTGGGGCTCGATCTCTTCCGTCTCTCGACTAAGTCAGCCCCACCGCTGCAGCCCAGGTGAGTACCGAGTTGGTGACTGAGGGCTGTTTGTTTCTAGTAAAGAAGCCACTGTCCCAGGCCTCTCTGGTCCCCTTTCATTCTTTTCCCACTAGCGGGAAAGTAACTGGTGTCAGGGAGGGGCTCGAGTTAGAGCCCAACCTCCGTGTTTTTCCCTGGGATAATGTCATCGGGCCCTCTGAAGGGGCAAGTTGGGGGGGGGGCTCGTTGCCATGGGAAGAGGCCAGGTACTTAGACTTCTCCCTCTCTGGCCCGGCCCCCTCGGGGCTCTCTGGAAGTTGCTCTCAGCTCCACTTCCCCACTGGGCCTGACAGGCTCAGTGACTGGGGTCACAGCCAGGTCACTGCCCCCTCCCCCTTCCCCACGGAGACATTGTACAGCCTGGCAGGAGAGGAGGGTTGAGGAGGGGGATTGGTTGGGCAAACCTGCTGGGGTGGGGAGCTGTCCAGCCTGTCCTCCGTGGAAGTCTGGCTGGGAGCTGAGCTCTGTCAGAGAAACCTTGGAAACCCCTTCACTCTTGTTCCTACCATTTCTGTGGGTCGGATGTCCTAGGTCTTCAGCAGGCTATGTTCCTAGAGCAGCACAAGAAAGGAAGGAAGAGGACAGACATCTTGATACACCTTCCCTCAACCTTCACCGGGGTCAGACAGTTAGAGCCAGGCCACGGTTCAAGTACTCTGCTGGTCACTCCAGGATTAAAGGCAGCTGAAGGGCCTTGGGCAGAAAAACTTCAGCCATAGCAGAGAGTCTTTGGGAGTTTTATCATGTTCTCACTGCATGGAAGGGAAGCAGAGGCTTCAGGGAGGGGCTCAGATCCTCAGGAACCCAAGCTCCCTAGTTGCCAGTCCTCAATCCATCTCCTCCCTCCACCAGCCTCCTGTCTTTTCCCAGGTCTGAGATTATAGCCAGAGAAATCTCTGATCCCTAGGGATCCCGGGCTGTGTGCCGCGTGTGTGTGTGTGTGTGTGTGTGTGTGTGTGTGTGTGTGTGTGTGTGTATGCTACATGAACTGGTAGAGGGGACTAATCTCTTCTTTGCCATTGAAATTCCTTGTCTCTCCCCACTCTTTCCTTTCTTCCCTCTTTCCCTCCCTCATTACTTCTCTTAGGCAGCTGTTTGTGAATTGAGACTGGGCCTCAGAGTGAGGTGAGTGAGGGCTTTCTATGAACAGACCATCAGGAAACCCGTACTAAAGATACCTGACAAAAACCATCCAAGCAGGTGGTCAGCTAAGCATTAATCAGGTCTCAGCTTCATGTAGTGGGGGTAGAATGAGTATAGGCCTTGATTCAGGAGACCTAAAGTGAGATTCCCCTTTGCTACTTCCTACTATTGCAAATTCCTCCCCCTCTCTAATCCAACTTCTTCATCTATAGGCTTGATGATGTCTGCTCTAGTTCATCTCTGGTTCTGTCATTTTTTGAGTGCTGAACTTAAGTTATTCTCTCTGGGTCTTAGTTTGCTCATCCTTAAAATGGGTATAACAATAATACTTGCACTGCATATCTTTCAGGGTTTTCTGAAAATCTTTTTGTAAAACATAAAATGCTATAGTATAGGAGCTATTATTATTATTATTTTCTCTGGAGATTCCCAAGTGGGTTTGGGAAACATTGACCATTCTGAGAGATTTCTCAGATGGTGACTGAAGCCTGTGAAGACCCTCAGAGGAGTATATCATCTGCTTCTGTCAGTTACCCCATAGGTGACAAACACTTTGGCTACTCCACCTCCCTATGGGGGGGGGAAGATTCCCAGTTCTCCCCTGTCACCACCCATAGTTTCAGGGGTTACTCCCTTTGTCTCTACCTTAGGCTCTTAATGTGGCTAAGTCTGGGAAAACTGAGGTGTCCAGGATAGCCATGAAATGCTTCCCAAATGTCTTCTCATTCCAGGCTGTCAGATGGCTGTGCTCCTGAGGCCCTGCCCTTTTGATGCTATGAGGCAGGACCCTCCTGTTGGGTAAGTTTCTTCTTTTTGCCTTTCAAAAGGCTTCTCCCCTCTGCCCTGATTCATTTCCTTGGGATCAGCAGATCAAGATTCACAATCTAGGTGACAGAAAAGAACCTGGTCTTTGGAGGCAGGAGTCATAGGTCCTAGTCCTAGCCATGACACTAATTTCCCAGCTAGGGTGAACTTGAACTATTGATTTGAGGGCATCAGCTCCCCCATTTGTAGAACAAGGGAACTAGATTTCCAAATGGTGTCTAGGAAGAAAAAAGTTTCAGTGACAGGAAAATGCAGGCAAGCAAACCCATCCAGTCCTCCTTGGTTGGAGGGGAAAAAACAACCCAAAAGCATTGAATCAATAAATGGACAGTGATTATTATTTTGACTGAATGCAGTCTGTGAGTTCTACTTGAGTGTCATTTAAAGTAGTAGTTAGATCATAGTAGTTAGAGCCAAAAGGCCCAACCCCCTTATTTCTACAGATAAGAAGACTGAGGCTTAGAAAGGTTATTGTCCAAGGTCATACAGTAAGCAGTAGCGATGGGAGGAGAACCCAGATCCTTTGATGAACTAAGATCCTTTGGGGAGCTAAGAACCATTGGACTAGGGAGGTCTCTCAAATTTCTTCCATTTCTAAAAGCCTACAAAAGCTTGCTCTCACTCAGCAGTTCTGAATCTGGCCTTCACCCCTTTTATAAGAGCACTGCCCTGTTGACTATGTAACCTCAATACTGATTTCTTGTTGGGGCAGAAATCTTCTGGTAATATGATAAGTGTTTAAAAGCAGTACAGTACTTACTTGCCTTCGGCATCAATGTCAAATTCGGTGGACCTCCTCAGTCCGTGAGCCTTTGAGTGAAATTTTGTCATGACCTGGTGATCACTGTTGGGGGCCGATGCTGGTAGCTGCTGTGGGCAAAGCTTAGGGAGAGGAAAAAAAATCCCTCCGGAAGTATCTCTATGGGTTTTGTACAGTGAGTGGTACTCTAGATTTAGGCTCAGCCATCAGTGAGCACCTAGGCTGTGACTTAGCACCTGACACCAGCCTGGCTATTTCCCTCCTCAAGGGCAGAAGTACTTCAACCCTTTGGAGACTGGGTGGGGCTTATAAATGAAGTGAGCCCCTGATGGGGACTGCTAGAACAAGGAACGTAGGACTTCCAGGAAAAAGTCACATTTGCTTTCTCTGTTTTGGTATTTCAAGATCTGGACACCGGTTCACATTTATTTTGGGGGCCTTATTTTTTCCCATCTGTCAAATGAGAGGGTTAAACTAGTCTGTCTCTAGGATCTCTTCCAATTCTGAAATTCTTAGGCACCTTACAGCTCACATTCTCTGTTCTCCGTGCTAGAATTCTGTAGTCTAATGTCCTTTTTGATGTTCTAGGGTCCCTTCTTGTTCTAGCAGTCTATGTACTCTGTTCTAACCTATTTGGCTACTCTAATTTGAGAGCATTTTCCCAGATCCGTGCTGCCTGTAGAAGCTGATGATATGTGGAGAAGGGCAGTATTTAAGCTGTGCTCCCTACCCCAATCTCACCCAGCTACCCTAGCCAGGCTTTGGTCTATGCTAGAACACCAACCACAGACCATTAGAGCTAGAAGAGATGTAAAAGACAGAATATAGGATTTCTCTTTCAGAATAAAAAGCCAAATTCATTCCTCTGTTTTGGAATTTCAAGATTTGGAATGATAATAATTAGGATTTATTTTTTAAGTCAAAGTTTCTTCCAATTTGGGAGTGGAGGTTTCAAGCCATTGCATTGAAGTGCCTCTGTTGGGCATTAGAACCCAAATCAGCAAGGACTTAACCATGCAAGCCTGGGTTAAAGCAGATCTTCTGTTCAAAGGGAGTGGGGGCAGGGAGAGGGGTTTCCTTCTTGGTTAGAGCTCATCCCCACACATAACAATACTCCCAGCTTCCACTTTCAGAAGCACTTTCCTATCCATTCTCAGTCAAATGAGGTCATTGGACTGGATTCTTCTTCGAAACTCATTGGATCTCACCTGATCCTTTC